AATGGTGTTATCAAACCATATACTTCCACCCTTGTTAGAGGATCAGGGTCATACGTGGGTGTTGAAAATGAACACTACCTCTGATGCGATTCCATCCATTGGAATGACGCTACCGCAGTCTTATGGTCACGACGGGTGCAAGCAGATAGTGGAGGATGTTCTCCTCTCTCTACACAGGGTGGCGAAAAATTACGTGCGCCACGAAAAATATCCTGACTTTATTTTTTGTTCATAGACAAAGAAAGACAACACTGTTGTGACTGCTTCCAGAGCACCAGAGCTTTCTTGAAGACCTCTTCATGATATATCTTCGCATTGATTTCCATGATTTTATCGATAAAAATCAATGGAGGGTTGCCCAAAGCACTGATACTGCTCCAAATCATCAAACTTTCAGCGAACGGAATTCTTGCAGGTATTTCCAATTACAAATGTTCCCAAGAGCTGAGCAAAAAAGTTGATGGTGATTTAGGAGTTTTAGCTGCTTAAATGGGAGAATTTTTTCGTCAAACCAGACGACTCTCCAGCTTCGCCGCACCATCGACTCGATGTCGAAACTAATTCAGATCTATATCAAAACTGACAGCGGCCACTTCGATACTTTTTTATAATTATTGAATGTTAGAGTTTGCTGTTTTATAAAATAATTTCCTTCAAGTTTTTATGGACCAAAAATGAAGTTAGGACGTTTTTATGGCGCACGTAATTTTTCGCCTCGTTTAGAGCTGTTAACACTATCATTGGAATAGTAACAGAACTAACAATAGATAGAAACATGAAAATTTTGTAGCTTGAATCCAGCCCAGCGTCTGTTGTGTTAATCCATTCCACATCATCCTCTTATTTGTTTTAGGAATTCATTTTGTCGCCACTTCAATTTGGTGTGCCCAACTCAAGACCTCGATATTACCTTCTCGCATGCAGCGATTGGCACATGAGGCTATTCGCTGAAGGAATTTCTACAACTTTCGACAGCAGCGATGCTTTGGAGCCGAAAGAAATGCGGTGTTTTCTGCAGGAATCACCTTTCAACAAGAATCTTTACTTGGATAGAAGTACTCTTTTAAAATATGGACTCGCTATGGATGTAGTTTCTCCCCACTCGACAAGATCCGCCTGTTTCACTAAGTCGTATGGCAGCTACATTACGGGATGTGGATCGTACTTCTGTTCTAGGTGAGTTAAGCACTTGTTAACTATTACTATAATTTCATTCGAGTAGTATCTTTACTATATCGTTTCACTGCGCTGTAGAACTGCTGTTTCAGGCCTGACTTGGTGGACGGTCACCGACTCACTGCAGAGGCTCTTGCTGATGAAGAAGCTTTGCATGACGTTGTGCGCCTGTTCTCTCCTAGAGAAGTTGCCAACCTGATGTGCTTTCCAATAGAATTCAAGAGACCTCCCGATGTCACAGATAAGCAGTTGTATCGATGTCTGGGGAATTCAGTCAATGTTCGTGTAGTGACGGCTCTTTTGAGGAAACTACTGCATGATTTTGTTTAAATTCAATGGTCATTCTTCAGCAGAACGTGTTTGTTTCCCTATTCCAAGTACATAAAGTTGAGCTGAAGATCAGTCATTATACTCTGCCTCGTCATGTGCCTCGTCTCCGTGCGTAAACTTTGAAGCACATTGGCTAATTTGCGTCCATTTCTAGAGATGCGGCATCCCTTCTCTATATAATGGGATATGTCTGTCTTTCTGTGTGTCTGTCTGCCCGTCTGTCATTAAATTCGGTACTATTATACTTGAAGAACCACCTTCTGAGTCCGGGTCAAATTTCTGTGGGTGGGGCATGGATCAAGCAAAAAACACATCAGGTGAGCGGAGCTTCCCCCTGGGCGGGGTAAGCGCTGAATAGTGCGGCGCCGACGGTAAAAATTCCGAGTCAGTTATAGAACAG